ATTAGACGAAACGAGGTGTTCTCCATGTCCAGTATTGTATGAAAAGCTTTAATTTAAATGTATTAACTATATTTCTTTACTTAATTTTGTATTTTTCAAAAATATATTTTTTCGATCAGTTACGCCATATATGGCTTTAAGAACCCCTGATTTTTTTTGTATGTTTTGTTTTGTTTTCTTGTTATATGAAGTGTCAAAAACCAAAACATACACGGACGCAAACATAGAAAAAAACTATAATGGTTAAAATATAATAAAATAATCTAATGATTCTACACGTATGTTTTCAGAAGTGCACTTATTTTATTTTATTTAAACATTAACAGTGCTGCATTATATGTACCTTCATTCTTTTATTAAAGGAGGAGGGTAAAATCCCATGTATCCCAGAGTTACCAGCTACAAATCGAAGGGGGAAGCAGATGAACTTGTATGTCTGTTTTTAAAACGTGTACTGCCTCGGTGGTGTTAGGAAATGTCTGTCTGTTTTCTGGCCCGTTTCTATTCTAACATTAAAGAATAAAGATTAAATGGGTCTGAGCCTTTTTGTTCTTTTAGGAGAGTAATTTTGAAAGATATTCTGTAAAAAGTTATATTCAAGAAAATTTTTAACCATGGATATGCTTACAGAATTTTTTAATTATTTAATCCTAGCAAATCGCTTTTCTTCTTCTGTAATCAAAATTTGATAAAATTTTTAACATCACTCCTTTTTTAGCTATTTAAGACTACACGATTTGACATATAAATTTTATATTTATTTAAAACCATACAATTCAATTAATTTTTCTTTACACAAGTTTGCCCTTAAAGATGTTTGATGTCTCTTTGAGAAATTTTGACAGCAGGACATTTCTTTTTAAAAAAAATCATCGTATTTACTGCATTTACTAAAATATAAAAAAGAATATTTACTGGATCTGATGACATAAGGTCTAATCAATAAAAAATAACAAAAAATCTTGATGTGATATTGAGATTTTTAGAGAAACAAAACAGAAGCAAGTTTAAATATCTTTGTCTCATGTGATTCTTCATGCCGTATTGTCAAGAGCCTTCTAAAAATGTAAGTGTAAGGAAATTATATTACAAAGTTATATCATTCCACAATCAAGGAAATCATGACAATTTTCCTAGATATTGTGATGTATAAAGTGAAATTGTATGATATATAGAGAGAATGTTAAGATTTTGAAGTTGATAAAGTTGCTTTGAATGATACATTTTTTTTATATGTAAGTGTATATAGTCAGATTTAAAATATTTGTTTAGAAGATCTGCCTGAGTTTGGTGTTGCATGCTGGAAAATAGATGGTTTGATTTAGCAAGTTTAAGCATGATAAAAGGTTTAAAATTTTGACTGTTCGGTTTGGCCAAGATCAGGTGCCCATTTCAACATGAATGATGTTATATAGATATAACTCGTTAAAGTTACAATTGCATTGCAAAGAGCAGATTGAGAGCTTTCCATTGGTATATTATATTATATATATAGTACCTGGCCCCTTGAATAAACAACAGAATAAAGTCTCAAATTCGTAATTGTTGAAGTGTTATGCTGTTGCACTTGACTTTTTACAATTATTTTGAATAAAACATTCCAAAATAGGTAAAGATTATTAAATATAACATTTTGGTTAAGTATATTTTTACAGGTAAATGTTGTATAAATGTGTGCAGATATACCTCTGTTAAATAATTTAAGATTTATCAATGTTTGGATAAATTCACAATTTCTAGCAGAAAAAGAGCAAATATAATAAATGTCCAAATATTTAGTGTAGAAAAACTCTCCAACTCTTACAGATTAACCCATGTCCTTTATATACTGTTACACTTTAAATGGGAATGACTTACTATAGTATGTGAGTTTTTCTTTTGCTCAGACAATATTTTGTGAAGAGTTTGTATCTGAATTATACATTTTTGTTCAGTTGAATATGATAAAGATAAATGTTATGACTAAATATGTTTAGTCCGTAGCTCACTTGGGTCTCTGAGTGAAATCTTTTAGACCGCTTGACAGGAATGGACAGAAATTTTAGAAAATCTGCCAAAGGGATGTAGTGTTACATAGAGCATACTTGAAAAAATATTCATTTGACTTCATTTTGTTGGTTATTCTGCAACCAACATGGGCACCTGTCCTCGGTCAAGCCATGTAGCCTTGTTTATATATTCCCTTGTATATTAATGTGGTAAATCAAAAACGAATGTAATGTTTATTTAGGAACCGACCGTAGAGATTTCTTTGCAACAAATAGAAACTTTGGAATACTAATTTGTTACTCATTGAGTTGCTGTCAGTCATTATTTGTCTATGATAACTTAGAATGAAACTGGTTACTCAAATACACCATTATGTACACTCTAGACTCAAACAATGTAGTACTGTTGTTGTGTTTCAAAACAATATATATAACTGGTATGACGTTGAAAACTTTCAATAAATGAGCTAACTAAAAAAGGTGAAAACTAGAAATTTTTAAATACAGTAAAACCTATGAGAGAGAAAGAATTTTCATAGTCAAACAAATCGCCCTTTTTTCTAAAGAAAAATGCAATGATTTAAGTCTTTTACTTTTATCCACCCCCTCCTACATCTACCGAACCTATTACAGACTAGAATTTTTTTTAAAAGAAACGAAATTATGATTTTCAACAATCATCTCTCCGTTTCGTTTTCTAAAAGACCCATTTTCCTATAACATTTATTGAAGCCCAAAATATTTAAAACGTCAAATATCTCAGGTCCTCAAGTGACCTTATCACAAAAAGTTATCAAATATTTTTCATACCAAGAAAATGTAGGAATATTGATCAAGCTATACACCTTATTTTTAAAGTGTGTTAACATGGTCCATATTAATGTACTTTGAAAAAAAAAAATTCATTTTTTCAAAGTGCGTTTGATTTGTCCCAAATTTAACGCACTTTGAAATTTTTTTTCAAAGTTTAAAAATTTTTAAAATAGAAACATCCAGTCTGTAACCTTTTTTTACTTGATCATGTGATCCAGTTTGAACCAATCAGATAGTTGGAACAATAAAGGAAAAAAAATAATTAACTTTTATGACGTCGTAGCAAAACTGCGCAAAAATGCGATGCTGCGCCATGACAAGTTCCAATTGTTTTAAATAAATACAAAAAAAAAATTAAATGAAAGAAACAACCCTAATCGTCTGGATAGGTACGACACTAAACCTTATCAGTCGAATTATGTATTATAAACTATAACCTAAATATCTTGGATGGGTGCTGGACTAACCATAATCAGCCGAATAGTGTGCGAGGTCTAACCATAAATCTCTCGGTTATTGTTCACCGACTAACTCTTACCCTTATGGTGTGCAAGGACTAATATATCTGGTGGGTACAAGCAATAGAAGAATTACAGGTTTAGTTTGGACTTTCAGCAAGGCGTGGCATTCTCGACGTTACCTAATTAGCTTCTGAAATTTACACAGCTTCCCTACACCAGTTAACATTCGGCTGCATTTCTATCATATGTATATTTCAACAGTGAAGGGAAGTTGTGTAAATTTCACAAGCTAATTAGGCAACATCGAGAATGCCACGCCTTACTGAAAGTCCAAACTAAGCGTGTAATTCTTCTAAGTAAAATCAGTAAAATTGTATTCAGACGAATACTGAATTGATAGCTTTTGAATACAGAACTATTGTGACGTCATAAACTTTTATTCTTCCTTCGCACCATCGGACTTTGGCGTATCAGACCATGACACATTAGCGCAATGTGTCTCATAGGAAACGAGTCATCGGACTTTGGCTAGACAATCGCACTTTGGAGTCTTACAGATTTTTTCTCCAATTTTATTTCAAATACATCATTATGATATTGGTGTGTAATGTCTCTACAAGATGCCTGGTTTTCCCATATCAAAAAAGTTGCCTTTACTATGGAATAAAGGTTATTTTTTTTATTTATTTCCAAATAAAAAGTGAAATTAAAAAAAAAAACACTTTAAGATAGCTCTTTACTTTTAAATCCAATAATACACAGATGGGATTGAGGACACATCTGCTACGGATTACAAAAGCAATGTTTCTTGTATTGCTTTGTTTTTGCTTTAAGCTTTTTAAATGAAAAAAAATCCCTCTGTAGAATTACTCGATTCAAATACTTACAAAATGGCATGTAGAACCTAACAATATAATTTTCTAAGAATTTTCTCACAACCTCTTTATAAAATTTGTACCGATTAATAAATGAATTACTGAGGGCAAATTAATTATCAAATCACTAAAGATGACCGGGTTTACATTTCAAAATTCCTAAACAAACACGTACCTGTCAATATCTTATTTTTACAGGTAAATGTTGAATAACTGTTTAAGTTTTGGTTAAATATATTTTTACAGGTAAATGTTGAATAAATGTGTAAGTTTTTAAGCTGTTGATTTTTGTAAAGTCTTGTGAATTCAAAGTGCTGTATTCAATTTGTCGGCACGGCCAGGTGTGTTATAGGACCGAAGACATCCCAAAATATTAATTCAATGCTTAAATAACACTTAATCAGGAACAAAAATGCTTTCGAAAGTACAGTTTTTAAAATAAAATACCTTATATACAATTTTACTTCTTCTGTCGTCTGGTTGACGTAGTGGTTAGAGAGTCTGCTCTAGAGTCGCAAAGTAAGAAGTTGATATTTAGGTTGCAGGTTCCAATCCCACTGTGGGGCATGGGCACCAGTACCTTGGGGTAAGACCGTATAAACCGAGGTCCCGTGTCGTAGTAGGTGCTGGCACGTAAAATATTCCTTACTGCTGAATGGCATAAGTATAGCAGCTCTCCATTGCAGTAGGTAGTGTCTCCATATGAGTGAAAAATTATCGAGAGGGAAGTAACATACAAACAAAGTTTTACTTTTATTTCTTCGAAACTCTTATTACAACAAATACAAATAACACATAAATAAATCACTACAAAATATATTTGTAAGAGAGTGGGTAACTTTTGCGAGACTATCATTAACTGCCTTAAAATTTCATTTTCAGCTTCACTGACGGATATTCTGTATTCTCATAAGTGTAGCATGTTTTATTTTATTTAATGATACTTGAGAAAGTGACTGTTGATACGCGTAAAGAGCCGCCTGTGGATTCTCTGTGACCTGGTAACAAATCCCAAGGATCTGCCATGATATGTCTTTTAAATCTACTGGAATGCAAGCCTGGACAAGGTGCTGGAAATAACATAGAGCTATTTGTATTTTTGATGTATCAACATGCCTGTAGCAGAAGATCTCCAGCATATACAAGAGTACGACTACAGGGATAACCAATTGAGTCTGTCTCTCCTGTATACTAGACAGTTGTTCAGGCAATAATTCATTGATGTAAATGATACAATTGCTAAGGTAGATATTCCATCTTGTAAAAAACCTCATTTTTGAAGTCAACGGCCACCCTCTCAGAGCCTCGGTATAAATATCTGTAGTACAATAAAGAGTTGATTTATATGACAGTAAGACTTTTGTCATTTCTGTAACAAATAATGCGTCCACAAATCTCATTGTCTTGTAATAATACATGGCCATATACACTATATCAGAAATGCCACCAAACTTGTCTGTTAATCTCAGCAGGCGATGGGACAGACTGTCTACAATATACATCATTTTGTTTCGACTTGTTTTGATGTACATGTTACTCAATATAAACACAATTTCAGGGAGGATGGAGGCTGTGTGTTTCTGTAAGGTGACAACATGGTATGGCGTCAAGGGTCTATTTATCAGCTGTTCTACAGCCCGAAGGCATTTCACACAGTGAAACAGGTTTTGTATTCCTTGTACACTTTGACTAATTATACAATTAAATAGGGTGGAATCAAATTCAAACTCGGATAACAAATTGCCTACATCTAAACAAATGGAGAGTCTTGGGTTATGAAGGACTTTTAAAACATAGGGCCAGATGGAGGAACTGTGTAGCAGTGATATCAAACCCTTCTCATACAATGCATGCAGCCTAACGAACAATTGGGTTTGCTTATCACCATGTATTTTACTCAGAAACATATTGTTTTGTGGAATGAAAAAATTAGGACAGACCCTTTCATAGACCCATTTAAGGATTAGTTTGAAGCACTCCCAAAGACACAAAAGGAGATTTTGTGGACACCACAGAGGTACAGTATTTCGTTGAATCACCCAGAAAACGGCTGTCTTCATGTGATAGGAACATAGTAGTTTATCTTCTTCTCCTAATCCATTGTTGATGACTTCCTTTAAAATCAATTTTAGCAATCCATAAGTTAAGAACTGAGTGTGGTTCATTGAATACACAAGTATTTGTTCTGCCCGTGAAAAAGAAATTCTCCATTCTTGGTCTTCATGATTGCCTAGTTTATGTCCAGTTGCTACAAAGTGACATCCACTACTGATTATGTCTCGCACAACACGAGGCTGGGGCCATGAGTGACATCTGTCTATCCAAGAGGCAGCAGATGGAGCCCAAAAGTCAGAGGCAAAGCAGTGGGCAAAATCATATTCTATTCCAGCATGAATTCCACTGGCGCAGGGTCCATGTGGAGTTGAGCTAGGTGTTATCTTTTGGCACATAGATTCTTTGTATAGAGAACTAGAAATAAAAAGTTTACCATTCCTTCTGACAAGTGCTGAAACAATATCCCTGCCCGCTATTCCTATAAAGCATGATGATGTTCTTATAGGCCATGGAATCAAAAGCTGCAGTAAAGAGAATCCTGGAGGGCTATCGGAACAGTCAGAGAGAATTAATGTGTATCTTTGTCTGTTGTAATACCGAGTCTGAGATAAGTCCCAGATGACTCGCTCGATATTATGCCAGTACATGGTGTCTATATCTGATCCTTTCAGTCTAAATCCCTCTCTGTGGCTGCCACTTGTCATTATAGAGTTTAAATCATTATTGACGTGATTCGACAGAATCTCCGTGATGTCCAAAACATCTCTTCTCATGGCGATTTGTTGTGAAGTCCCCACTATGTGACACAGTCCCACAAACACTGACTCTGATACATGTTGTATGGCTGATTCACTAAATATCAACAAACCACAAGGTAAATTAAAGGAAAGAGAAAATTATTTTTAAAAAACCAAAACTAGATTTTTGTTTATTATCTAAATACTAGTATAAGGTTAATATATATACTTTATTGATTAAAATTGTAATATTCTCTCAAAAACACTTACATTGGAGATTGTGTATTTGAATCCATGTTTCAGACAAGAATAAAATGTTTTTTGTACTTGTTATGGTATAGGGAAATCCTGCAAAGCTTTCTCAAGCTTTTTGTGTTACTATTTAAAATTCACATCTCAATGATAAAATCATGACCGAATATCTCCACATATCATCACAATTCAAAGAAATGAGTGTACATGAACACCATAACATACACTGAATGTCACATACAGAAGAGAATGTTCCTATTACCACCAGTGCATTAATTGGCATTAATTGGAAAACAGTAAGATGGTTGGTAAAATTTCTTAATGATTAATCCATCTACTTTACCTGAAGCACAGTAAACTCTCAGTTTCGTAGGACCAATTATATCAACTTCTTGTGAGGAAAAAAAGATAATTTCTTTCCATACCTTTGTATTTTAATGTTTTCCAAAGCCTTGATATCGCCATATCCCTGTACTGTCTTAGTCAGCAGGGATTGTAATTTGAGGATGTTTGGGTATAAACTGATGTTAAAAAGTCCTTTTTTTAAGAATTTTAAAATAGTTTTTTAAAATTTGAGTTTTAATGAGAATGATGATTTAAACCAGGGGTCATGAATTTCTTTTCTTTCTTTTTTTTCATATACACAACACTAGTACTTCTGTGAAAGACATAATGGTATAACACTAACTTTGAAAGCCATAATAGCTACTGCGTGACAGAGAAAAGCGGACGGATGTCGACTAAAGAAAAGCTTACAAGTCAGGTAAAATAATCACTAAGCATTTGTAACCTTTTCATCTCAACAAGACATTTTACTTTCAGGGAGGGAAAATTATATAGTAGCTTTGAAGTCAACATAATAATATTTAAGGGAGTCGACTGAGGTTTCTACGCAATGTACTGAAATTAAGCGTAGTTTCAATTTGAAAGCATTTGTCTTAACAAATTGAGAGAACCAGAATAGATAAATTACAGTTAAAATAATTTATTACATTTTTAATTATTCATTGAATAAAAATGACATTCTGTCACAGTGTGAAAGGAAATCTTAATGATATCCTTTCATAGTAGTACAAATATCAGAAGTGCAGTAAAACTAGATTTTCCTTCCCATAAGGGTTAGTGTTGTAAAAATCAATCTTCCTCTATCTGATAATAGATAGATAGACGTAACTAAACTATTCTGACAGAGAATAAAGCTGCTAAATATATCCAATATATCAATGTTTACAATGTTTTCATTTGACTTAGCTGTGACGTCCCGACCGCTCAATGTCGACATCATGTAGCCTGTGACTGTATTAATTACAAATAGAAATAGGCCAAGGAAAAATCAAAGGAAATGTAATAAACAAAAACTTCAATGTTTTGTTGTTGAATATAGAATTTTTTCTCTCATGAGACGTGATTTTTTTTTATATTTTCACATATGCTTCGCACTCGTGGAGATATAAAAAAAAATCATGTCCCACTTGTGCAATAAATTCCATTTTCAACGACAAAATATTGAATGTCCTCTATTTAACTATTTACAAATTGTTAAAAAGATTTGCATTTGACAGGTAGATGAGGGTCATTTAATTATGTTAATGAATCCGGTTAGTTTTTTTTAAATTTGATAAGTCCAAAAAAAAATATTTTGATATAATTAATACTTAGGAATATTCTAAATCTGCTCGTTTAAAAAATACAAAAAAAAAATTAGAAAAATTTCATACATAAGTGTCAATCTAGTTAAAATTAGACTTCTTATAAAATTAGATCCGCGCCGTAAGGGCAGAGTGCATATGGTGCAAATCTAAGAAGTCTGATTTTAATTAGATTGTTTAAGTGCATACAGTTAATATATTAATCCAATAATAACTAAGGGTAGTGTAAGCACTGAACTCACTAAATTTTACCTCCCACCAACCAAATGATTATAATGACAAAGTCCATGTATTGCTCTGGAGACCCGAAATATGTGTCAGATCAAAACGTAAAATAGGAGGTGCACATGACTTTATGTAATGAAGAATCTGTGAAAGTATCATTTAACTTTTTTCAGTGGTATAGGAGGAGTTGTGGATAAGAGATGGGTACCCTTCAATACCGGATATTAAAGAAAAAAAAGCAATGTCAATGTTTTTCTAGGGGAAACACAAAATATGTTTCTGATCAAAACGAGAAAAAAATGAGGTGCGCAATAGCACTATATGTAACAAAGAATTTGTGAAAGTCATTCAGTGGTATAAGAGGTGTTGCGGATCGATAAGAGTTGGGTGCCCAAAACGTAATAGACGGACGGACGTACAACTAAATGGACGGACATCCCAATCGCTATATACCATTTGTAAACCAACTTTTATTCACGTGAAAGAGATAGTTTCGCGAATATTTATCGCCCAAAACCAATCATTTTATTTATTATCCTTCAGTCGCGAACATTAATCGTCACTGATTGATTTCAAACTGAAGAATCGCGCGAATAAAAGATGACGCGAAAAATAGTTGGTTAAAAGTACCCTCCCATTTTTCAAGTGGGGGAGCGGGATTTATTCATGTAATAATACATGTGAAAACATTTCGAGGTTTGTAATATTACACCTTTTTTAATCCCTAAAATGGCCTAAAAATGTGTGTGAAAAGTCATAAAGATATGTCAAAGAAAGCAAAAGTGAAATATATGGAGATAACGTACAGTATTCAAGATCAAACATGCACAAACAGTACAAAATAGGAGCAGAGCAAACACAAACCTCCAAAACATCAGAGGTGGGGTCAGTTACCATGGAGAAGTAAGCATCACCTCCTGACCGGTCACACGCTGTCCTTTTTGTCATCATCGTGGAATAGCGAAAACATCCTTCATCAATTCAGTGTTTAAATAACGGAATAACAATTAGCATGAAAAACGTAAACATTGAAGATAACGTAAACATAATCCTGAAACAGGAATGTGAATATCTCATAGTTATGTCTTTAATGTTTTTTTTTTCTAAATTCTCTGTATCTGTCACCTTTTGTAGTACTCCTGAAAAAAAGAAAATTTCGTACATTTGACATTTAGAGATCCCACCTCCGGAAACCTTAGGTAGAAATTGTGTTTCTTTTATATAATATACCATATCATATTTCCCATTATATATAGTTTGAAGAGTGAAAAATACACCTTTCTTTTCCATAGGGAAGTGGTGGCTTCTCGATATGAGTGAAAAAATATTGAGAGATACGTTAAACAAGAAACAATCAATCAATTCAGAAATAGATTAATTGATTGACTGAATGTTGGTTTACGTCCTGTTTGATCATTTTTATAGCGTATTTAACATACAATTATCCACCGAATGAAATATACGAGTTTTCATACAGTGAATTTTGCCTATATGGCTGGTTTTGGTTACAATAAGGGTTTTAAGTTTTTCCATTTGTTTTACAAGCAATGAGTCACATTATGCATTATATGTGAGCCTCCCGCATGAGAATATTTTTATGTTTAGATCAAATGTAAAACGTAGAAATTTTTACTGAATCTTTATTCAAAATCGTTACAGCTTATCTTGAATGGAGACAATAACCTTACAACCAAAATATTGCAGGATTTAAAGTTGATAACATATACAATGGTATTTCATCTACAAAGAGATTTGCATAATATTGCATCTCTTCTCTTTTTTATTGTTAAACCATGGAAGCAACATCTATTTATGTGTTCTTTTTGTCTTTTAACATTTAAACCTTATTATTTATTTTTTTCATTTATTTTTGTTAATCTTATATGTTAACGTGCAAACACAAATTGTATCTTCAACTCATTTTAAATATTTATTTTGAGTTTTTTTTAGAAATATGTTTTGAATATACGCATGTATCTATTCAGTTTTTAATGTTATGTAACTGATATTTATTTGTAAATTTGTACATGAATGAGTTTGACCTTGTATTATGGAGAGAACTTATAGAAGATGTATGCAGTCTAATCCTATTATGATTATGCATTAAAAATATTAATTTTTTTTAATTAAAAGAAGGGAGCTTTCTTGAGCATGTACTGTATGTTACACACAGAAATGTTCATATTAGCACCAGTATTTTAATCGAAAAAAGTAAAATGTTTGATAAAATTTCTAAGTCTTTCTATTTTATCTCTAACATTGTGAACTCTCAGTTTCGTAGAATCGATAATATAAGCTTCTTTTAAAGAATGCAGGAGTCATCTCTTTCCTTCCCTTTGTATATTGATATTTACTATACCCTCGATATCAATATCTATCCCTGTATTCCTGTGCTGTCTAAGTCCGCAGAGACTGTCATATTATTTGAGGGTAATTGAATTTATATTAACTGACGCTTCACAGCCTTTATTATTCTTATGAATTTTTAAATATAATTTGATGAAGTTGTTATATTAATAGAGCTGATGATGTCCAGGGGTCACTCATTTTCTTTATTCTTTTTATGCACACAATAGTTCTTAGTAAAATTTTACTTATTTCAAGGTTTGGCAAACTGAAAACCAAAGAAAACAAACAGAAACTTTTCTGTCTTTGAAACTCATATTAACAAAAGCAAAAAAACACATACATGTATATGTATATGTATCAATACAAAATATATAATTGTTAGCGCGGGTAGGCGAGGAAACGACTGACTGCACTGAGAGAGAACGTTCGACTTTCACATACATCAGAACGTAATCAGATACTTCTCCATTTTTAAAAGTCATATCTGTTCATTTGGAAGTCATACAGCAGAATGTTCAGTCAACCAAATTATTTGGTTAAAAATGCAAAAAAGGCAAATTAATTAAGGTAGGTCCGTACTTTCTGAATTTTCTGTTAAACTCTTTATTTTTTGATTTGAAAATTTTAAATAAGTCATAATCTAACTAAAACACCCATAAAAAACATATCTTTGCAGGTTATTTTTTATGCAACATGTCTCGGAGTATATACCTCTAAAAATGCAACAGCAAAAATTCAACATATAGATGTGTAACATCATATTTTATCTAGCTATGTGTCAAATCACATCCAATTATTGTTAAAACTTAGGAAAATCATAAATATTCATTTGTCAAGAAAATATTTGAAATTTCTATTTGAAAACACTAAAAAATTGATGTTGATTCTGTCAAAAT